ATACCTCTTTTATTTGGTTTTTGTAGGGAAAGTTAATTGAAAAGAGCATTATTACCTTACTTTCCTTATTTTCAGCGATTCTGCGCTCTTGGAAGGATTTCAACTGAAAATCAACTTTTCGAATGAATTTTAGCGTAAGGCCAATTGGAGAAGAAAGCTAAGACATTGAAGATCATAGTGTCAAAGTTTCATAATTTTCTACCAAGCCAAATGCTCCAGACTTGCAAGTCAAGACAGCCTAAGTTGAAATCCCGTCAGAACTGCACTGCTGTGGAAGATTGAAGATTTGAAGACCTCTCCGATTTTTCCTAGTGGCGTGTAATATATGCCTGAAAATCTTAGAGGTAAAGCTATGTTTCTCATATCTTAGAGGTAAAGCTATGTTTCTCATATTTTTCCAGAATTTACTAGGAAGTGGATCGACCCTAAAACGTGCGTGCAAGTTGGCTGACGTGTTTCCAAGTCAAAGAAGGATTCTTTCCTAGTTTGTTTCCTTAATTGTTTGGGATTTTGTTTTGCTTTAGGAGAGTTTTTCCAGACCTTTTAAGGGTAGGGTTTAGTTGTTTTACACTATATAAGATCCTCCCATATACCATACTTTTCCACCAACTTTCATACACCCAGAGAAACATCAGAGAGAGCCAAGGATTTGCTGCTGCACTACTTGAGGAGCTTTCGAAGGTGTTCCTGTGGAGACTCCGAAGATCAAGTCCATCGGCCAAATCGGTTTTATGACAATAATTCTCTTGTTTATCTTTTCTTTTGTCATGAACTAATTATCCTTGCTAGGGCTACGATGTAGCCTAACCATGAATACTTAATTTTTATAGTTATATTAATTTCTTATTACTATTCCATGTTGAGTATTTGTTACTGTTCTTAATGCTTTGAATATCTGGCCAATATTTAATTGATTTGATGATCCAAGCGGAGACCGAGAGGAGATGTTTGGTGTTTGCTTCTCGGAACAAATTTCTAAATCCATTGCTCGAGAGAGAATGGGTTGTTAATTAAGAATACTTTTGGTTGAGCCCGAGAGGGGATATCGAATGAATTAGGAGAAACCAACTGTCAACATGGATAGTAATTAGGGTTAATTGGCTATAAGAATTAAGTGGAATTGGTTATGGTGAAATCGGATGCTCTAGTGTCTCATCATCTTAATTTTCTATCATTAATTAAATTGCTATTTTTCATAATTGTTTTAGGTTACTTAAATCAATCAATCTTCTTAATCAATTGTTCAGATAAACTTTTGAATTAATCATAATTGGTTCGTGGGAACGACACTCTACTTACTTCTATATTACTTGTGCGGATTGTGCGCTTGCAATAAATTCACAACAGGTATTCACTGGAAAAAGTGGAAGTCTCTGTGTCAACATAAATCTGAAGGGGGGCTTGGTTTCAGAGAATTGACAAGTTTTAATCAAGCATTGCTTTGTAAACAAGGATGGCGTTTGTTGGAATTCCTAGGTTCGCTGATTGCGCGTATGTTAAAGGCGCGCTATTTTCCACACTCTAATTTTCTGGAGGCCTCGGTTGGGTCGTTACCATCGTTTACTTGGCAATCATTATTGTGGGGACGGGACATGCTCCGGCTGGGCCTCAGATGGCGTGTTGGTGATGGACGCTTGGTTAATATCTACGGGGATCCTTAGGTGCCTCATGACAGAAGTTTCACAGTTCAATCTGTACCCACTCTTCCTACTAACTCCCGAGTTTGTGCCCTTATCACCGTGACTGGTCGGTGGGATGTTGATAAGATTTTTGATAACTTCTCGTTTCCGGAAGCTGAAACAATTCTTTCTATCCCCTTAATGGGTGATACTTTGGACCGGAGAATCTGGCATTTTGCTAAAAATGGGAGATATTCTGTTAAAAGTGGGTACTGGGCAGCTTTGGAGTATAAGCGGTTGGAGGAGCTGTCGGTTGGGAGTCTTGCTGGTGCCTCTTCTCCTTCCTTGAAACTTTGGAAGCATTTATGGAAGCTCAAGGTACCGCAGAAAATCCTTCATTTGTTATGGCATTTGGCTCACAATCTCCTCCCCTCCAAGGAGGTGCTGTTCCGGCGTCATGTTACACAGGAGACTCCTGTTTTCATTGTGCTGCTGTGAGTGAATCTACGATGCATGCCTTAGTGGGCTGTGATGTTTGTATGCAGGTGTGGGAGGCGTTAGACTTTCCTAGTGAGTTCCTTCTTCTCAATTTGACTGATGCTGGATTTTGGGTGGATGCTGCATGGGATCTAATTCCTCCTGTTAAGCAGTCCCTTTTTAAATTTACGGTGTGGGTGTTGTGGAATGAAAGGAATGGGGTGCTGTTTGGATCCCAACCCACCCCTCCTGGAATTTTGGTTCAACGTGCGAAGGACTATGATGATGAGTTTACACGTTCTCTTGTTGTCAATCATAGAAGTTTATCCTCGCCGATTCATGATGTTAAGTGGCATCCGCTTACTGATGGTTTTTTCAAGCTGAATGTGGATGGGGCTGCTGATTTGGCGACGGGAGATAGGGGAGCTGGTGTAATTGTTCGTGACTCTCAAGGAAATCTGGTAGGGGCTCTGGCAATGCGTGCTCTGAGCAGGATCTCTGTTCTTGCTACTGAGTTGTACGCTCTTAAGAACAATCTCCTCCCCTCCAAGGAGGTGCTGTTCCGGCGTCATGTTACACAGGAGACTCCTGCTTTCGTTGTGCTGCTGTGAGTGAATCTACGATGCATGCCTTAGTGGGCTGTGATGTTTGTATGCAGGTGTGGGAGGCATTAGATTTTCCTAGTGAGTTCCTCCTTCTCAATTTGAATGATGCTGGTTTTTGGGTGGATGCTGCATGGGATCTAATTCCTCCTGTTAAGCAGTCCCTTTTTGCATTTACGGTGTGGGTGTTGTGGAATGAAAGGAATGGGGTGCTGTTTGGTTCCCAACCCACCCCTCTTGGAATTTTGGTTCAACGTGCGAAGGACTATGATGATGAGTTTACACGTTCTCTTGTTGTCAATCATAGAAGTTTATCCTCGCCGATTCATGATGTTAAGTGGCACCCGCCTACTGATGGTTTTTTAAAGCTGAATGTGGATGGGGCTGCTGATTTAGCGACGGGAGATAGGGGAGCTGGTGTAATTGTTAGTGACTCTCAAGGAAATCTGGTAGGGGCTCTGGCAATGCGTGCTCCGAGCAGGATCTCTGTTCTTGCTACTGAGTTGTACGCTCTTAAGACTGGCATATCCTTTGCA